ATTTTTGCCTGTCTGGTAAGATTGGTGAGAATAGGTGTGGTCTAGATTCCCTTGATTAAACAATGTCATCTATAAAGACTTAGAAAGCACAAATTCTCTGTCATGGGACCTGCCTTCTCCAACAGTATCCTCTCAGGGATCCAAATGGCTTATATTTATTGAAATTCTGAAAATCCCTGAAAATCTGCTGTTCTTAGGGTATTGTGTATAGTGCACATTCTCTTCTCTGGCATGTTTTGTAATATCATTTTTATACTACAGGAATTATAGATTTCATAGAATTAGTGTTAAATTTTGTTCCATTTTAAACAAGTTTCAAACAGAGTTAAAATATAGTTGCATTGTTAATACCACTGCACATTTTTGATTATTGTTTGAATGACCAGTGCTTTTTAAGTTCTAAATGTTATTTCTGAATACTAAGAGATAGAAAATATTTTTCATTCATTTATTACAGACTAACAGAGATAGATTTTAACACCTATATGATAGTTAGAAATAGTTATTGCATAGGGTTATACGGAGTGGGATTTTAGGGCTTCATGAATATGCATACTTCATTATCACGTATTTGTTCAGCATTAATACAAGAGCCCCATTTTGATTCTAGATTAATATGTCTAATTCAGGTATCTGTCTTACTAATTATCTTTCATTTATGAGAAAGCTAACAATAACAACATCTGTTCACAAAATGCTTTTAATGTAATATGAAAAGGTTCCTGTGATTAAATACAAATTAGTTTACACATTTATTTTCCTCTGCAATATGTCTTGCAAATGTAATGAAAATACCATCCATCTTTTTATCTTCTCACCTTTACCATCCACCTTTTTACCTTTACTACCCATCTTTTTATTCCATTCCAGTTCAGATTCAACTACCCTTTGTAGTTATTTGACTACAGGTGAGGAAATAGACATTTCTTTTTCTTTACTTCCAAGCAAGTGTTGGAAGCATTAATATGATTCTAATATAAAAGGATGATGGATGCTAGAAAAGGAATCTAAAGTTTAACTCTTTATCTCCTGTTATGGCCTTGATTACAACCATAGGTTCCTTGTCTGAATGCTACATTTAATGGTTTGGACAAATTGATATTTCAAATACAAGCAATTGGGAATGCAGAAGAAAGGATCAGGGTATATTTGTACTGCTTCATGATTGGATCTCTACAAGTATGTATGTGTGTGTATATTGATTTAAGGCACTGGTCCCCAACCCCCGGTCTGTGGATCGGTACCAGGCCATGGCATGCTAGCAACCGGGCTGCACAAACAAGCAAAGCCCCATCTGTGAGATGCAGGCAGCACACAAAACCACACTCCCTCTAGTCTGCAGAAAAACCTCTCTCCATGTAACCGGTCCCTTGTACTCAAAAGATTGGGGACCTCTGATCTAAGGTATTAATGGGCATGGTTAATATAGTAAAATCAGTTTTGAATAATCTTCTTATAAAAATCCATATATGCTTCCAGGTAATTATTTTTACCTTTTAAAAATCTAACTCAATTTATAACAAAATGTTTTTCACTTAATTTTTTTTTTTCAGGCAAACTAGATACATATATAGACAGGGTTAAGCTTAAGTGTGACAACTGCATTTAAAAATGTGTTCTGCGAAAATAGCCTTGAGGCAAGCAGGCAGGCAGGCATCTGTGTGTATGTCCAAGCACACACACACACACACACACACACACAGAGAGAGAGAGAGAGAGAGAGAGAGAGAGAGAGAGAGAGAGAGAGTCCTATTGCTCCAAATACCTACTAGATTAAAAAAAAATCTGAATCCAGAGATGATACCTATATTGTTCGTGGTCTCCTCCTAAGATCCTATATGAGAATTGTTAGTATCAAGATATATGTATTTGTGCTTAAACGGCTGTTTGTGTGTATATGTGTGTCTGAAACATTTAAATAAATGAAGTGCTACTCATATTTAACAGGAAACCAACATCACACTGATATTATACCTGGGTAACTTTGGTTCTTTGAAGCATGTCTGGACTATAGCCTTCCTCAAATATTTATCAGAAAAAAAATGATATATTTTTTTCTGATCCCATGTCAAAATTTCTCCTTTGCCAGAAATAGTTTATAATGAGGATGTAATTAGCTGGATCTAATCCTGTGCAAAATTGTAATTAGGTTCAGATAACAAAGAGAAGTGGAAAGAGAGAAGAGTGAGGGGAAAGATTCTGCTACCTTATAGAAAAATGCATTAAAAAAAGCAAGACTTAGTTTCAGCTACTGAACTAATGAGTTAAAAGGAATGTTTTTAAATAAACTAAAAGCAATGGATATAATTATTGCAATAGTTTCTTTATGACCAAAATATACCTTTTTAAGTAATGGAAAGGTCACAACAGCCCAGGAGATATCTAAATGTCCTTATCATAATTGTGACTAAAATCTTTTGTTAAAAATTGGTGATAGCACTACTTATAGGCATCCAAAAGCAGCTTCCAAAAATAGATTTTTTTAAAGACCCAACCAGGGAAGAAAAGAGTTTTTCCTTTCATTCATTCTCTAATCCTGTAATTATAACTTCCCTGGAAGCTTCAATTTGTTTTTTTTTTTAAAAAAAAGATAATGAGGTCAAATGCAAAGAAGCATTAAGTGTCAGGTATAGTTATTCCCAAACATACAATCTGAGCACTGGTATTTGTAACAGTCATCTACAATTACACACTGACAGTATATGAAGTTATGACTTAAAAGGTATAAAAAGAAAAAAAATCACCATCATAGGAAACTTGTCACTCCTCTGGCATCTAACAGGATAGATGTAAAATAGGTAATAGGTAATGATGTGTCAGTTTCTTCAGAAAACCAACAGTCTTATGGCATCTTCTAGATACATTTATTATTTACATTTGTGAATTGTAATCATTGTAATTGTAATCATTCTGCAGTTTCTTTCAATCCACAACAGATAAGCCATAATAAATTTGTCAGTGATGAAATCATATTAGGAATTTAGGACTGATCATTTATGGCTGATAATTATTCTGGCATATACACTGAGATTGCCGAATAAAGTTTTACAAATGAACAGCTCAGGATTGTCTACAGCTGTGATTCTCAACCTTTTCTTCACGATGGACCCCCCCCCCCTTTAAACATCTTTTGTAGCCACAGACCATGACCATGGATCCCCAGGACTTAACTCAAGATTTAAATTATAACATTTCTTCAAGCCTTCACTGATCTTTTGTGATGATACTGCGGACCCCCAGGGGTAAATGGACTACAGGTGAAAACCAATGGTCTATAACATTTTCTAATTATTCACCTAATTAAGCCATTTATTCACATACAGTACCTTTTTATGCTTTCAAATCAATATTCTGTCCTGGTAACTACGTGGACAATTTTTCTGAAGTTTTCTTGGAAACATTTTTTGGAAGGCTAATTGCCCTTGCCTTTTTTCTACAGCTGAGAGAGAACAACTGGCCCAAAGTCACCCAGCTGGTGCCTAAAGGCAAGATTAGAATTCATGCTCTCCCATTTTCCAGTCCTGTGTTTTTAACCACTATACTGGCTCTCATTCATACACCTTAACCACAATTTTTTCATTCTTTTACCCTTGCAGATGCAATATAGAACGTAAAATTTATATTCTAAAAAAAAAAGAAAATAAGTAACAATAACAAAAAGACCCTACTATGTAAGACAAGTTTATGGTTCTACACATGCAGACTGGGATTTATCCCTCAAGCCTCAGATAAATGATACAAAGTAGCATTATTTCAATTGTTTTAAGGAACATATCATGCATAATATTTTGAAGTGCAAAAAATGGATAAACAATATTTTTTTAAAAAAAGTAGGCAAAATTTTTAAGTAGCAACATACTATATATTATGCTCAAAATGAAACACGTCTTTAAATGAATTAAAGGGAGTGGAACATTTTGTTCAGAGTATATAGTACTGGGTCAAAAAACACCCCATTGAAATTACCATTTAGCTATCAAAGACACAATAGGTTAATTCACATATAAAGAAAAACTAGAAATTGCCACAGTTTTCTTGTCTTTCAGCTGGACAAAGTATATGCCACCAATGAGAAAGGATATTACTGCGTAATTTCCATAACCATACTTTATAAGATATTGATATTCCTGATACTATCAGGAACAGGTAATGAATAGTTTGTACATCAAAAACAATAAGATAATTCATTATATCTGTATATTGGGAAGAGGAGGTGTTGCCTGTTTATCAAGGGAGAATTGTATTAAAATATTATTTATTCAGTCGATCAGCAAATTACCCAGATAATATCCAGATAAACTCAGCATACATTTTGTCTACTGTTCCAGTTGGAAAAGCCATTCCTAATTTAGTATATTATAGATGCTGCATCTGCACTATCACCACCACCACCACAACCATCATCATCATTCTGAATTATTTTACCAAAAAATGAGAGTCTCTTTACTGATTACATTAGTTCAGTGCAACTTGGTAGCTTTTGGGGGCTTCCTTGTCTAAGGCTAAGAAAGATTGACTATCCCAAATCACCCAGTTGCCTTCCGTGGCTATGAGTGGACTACAATCTGAGTATTCCTGCACTTATTGCAGCACCCTAACCACAACATTACACTGGTTCTCACCCTAAAGAGGTAAGGAGTTAGAATTCCCATAAACCCAGCTAATATGGACTAAATCTTCTGGTAGTCTAATACGTACGGAAAGATAGAAATTTAAAGAAAGATATAGGAGAAAGCTGACAAATAGCATGCATTCTAAATCTGTCAGTATTTTTTATGTATTTCCCTGGTAGATGGATTGTGAACAACAGTAGAATGGTTTGCAAAGGTGATCTCAAGATAGAGTTCTTACCTTGCAAATAATAGGAAAAAAGAGCTGTTTGTATAATATTTTATATAAAGAAAGAGTGAAATGAGTCTATATGTGACAAACATGTGACAGATAGGATTGTTTTTATCTTGCTAAAAAACTTACTACTATTTTCCAGATAGTTTACTTACCGTTAAAGCAAGAAGTTTCCCATATGTGAGATGAGCTGGAATGTGATCAGTTTTAGAGTGCAGTGATTCCACATACCAATATTCTGCTTCAGAGAATCTGCTAAGTCTCATGTAGGCTTCTCCTACAAAGCAGAATAGAAAATCATAAAAATGTATTAATAGAACATATAAACTGATAAAGCAATTGATGTATTTTATGTATTAATATATAAATACATGCATATCTGTATTCATAAAATACAGATATAATACAAATTAATTTATATTTATAATTTACATCATATATATTACATAATAGTATGTTATTATTCCATTACTCTTTAACAGAATGTCACCAACAAAATATATATGATATTACTATTAATATATAAATATCTCACATCTCTTAAAAATCTTGAGTCAACTTGCAGCAAAAGAAATATATAGATTAAGAATTTTTGTAAGACTAAGATTTTATGACTGACTTCTTTAGAAATGTGAATTTTATGTGTAAAGAAAATTCCCAACAGATGTTTGTGGCTGCTTATCCATAAGACTGGATAACAACAGGAATATGATGATGTCCAGTGTTCAGAATATTTTTCCAAAAGGCTTAATATGGATGGAAATTGCATTAGTGATAATATAGTTAAGAGAATCTTATAATTTCTGGAAGACTGAATCAGCCTGGCTTGCTATAACTGTCAGAAGCAAAACTACTACAAAACAGCTGTGTTAAATTAGATGAACATTCAGATGCTTAAAATTTCATACTTCATCCTATCAAAATGCCTACAATATCCAGAAGGATCAATATGAAAGAATTCCAACTGATTCCAAATATGATTAATAGCTGAAATGTCTCCATTCAGTAACGGATAAAACCTTTTACATTAAAAGATTTATTTTATTTATTGTACTTAAAGCAGATATACTGCCTTTATTCTATTACTTTATGCCTAATTACTTTTCTCACAAGTAAAGGGAAGAAACAAGTCTAAACCAGATGATCTCTGTGTGAAGAGCATTTCTTGCATAAACTTCCTTGAATACAGTTTTCCAGTAAAACCACAACTTGGGTAAATCATCATGAATCAAGGAAACAAAATAGCTGGTAATTTCCTAATCAGCAATTACTGTCTTCAAAAATCAGACAGTTATACAATTTTTTATGGTCTTTCAGTCTACCCAATTATGTTGACTCAAGGAAAACACAAAGTTTAATTTTTATTAACAATATGATATAGAGGAATATTATGCTGACTGATAACTAATTTTGGCATTTTCTGTACGAAAGAAGTTTCCAGTTCTCTAAAAATCAGAAGCAAAATGATAAGTAACCGGAATTTCTTTTTCTCCTCTGTACCATAGGATTTTATTTATCTGTTCAATAATTTCAATCTCTTTTAATGAGAAATGATTTTAATTATTGGATATATTGATGAAAAAGAATGACAGCATATCAAATTATTTTTGAGCAGTTGTAGCTGAGAAGATGAGTTGAAAATCTGAACTGTTATAAAGGAGAATTCTGTATTTTAAAAGTAATCAAGGATGCCATGAAGTAGCTTTCATTCAGTGTTGCCAAACTTCTAAATTGTTAAGATTAATAATAAAATTTAATCTAGAAAATTATTTTAGTTAGTATTTCTAGGCTATAATTTGATGTCTACTTTATATCAGACCATACTTTACATCAGATCATACTTTACATACATCAAACCAATACAGGTTTAGGAATGGGATTTTTTGTAAAAGTATTTTTATTTGGTATGCTCTAATATGTAACCATGGTACACAATTTTTTTAATCACTAAATTTACAGGACTCAGACTTCAGACAGGTAAGTATTATGCATGGGCTTTAGGGAAGTGGAGAAAAGTTGCCCATCAGATGATAGTGAAGAAATTATGATGATGGGTCTTAACATTCAGTTTGATGAGAACTGATATGGATCTCTAGATCTATACCCATCAAATCTTATATCTTTGAAAAAATGACATCTGGACAACCATTTTTAATTTAAACTCATAGAACAACTTCTATGAGTTGTTATTGGACAAGAAATGCATTTTAGTTGCAGGAGGGGGAATTCAATTTAAATTCTTTTTTTTTCTTTTGTGCCAAAACATAATCCTTTCAATCCATAAGAAATATCATTCCGAAAATGAGCGTTGGCTTACCTGAACGCCTTTTCTCAGCATGATGAAGAAGAATCCACCAATGGGTTGTCTTAGTCCTCCTGTCCAATCAGACCAAGTTGTCAAGTTGTCACCCCTCCTCATTATCTGGGGACCTCCCAGTTTTCATCGATGGGCGAAGCCATTGACAACAGTACGACGTGATGACTCTCAAGCAGGTAGTAACGACACCTAACAGAACAACCATCCCACCCGGACCTGATTGACTTCTACTTAGGGAGGGCGTGGATTCTTCTTCATCATGCTGAGAAAAGGCGTTCAGGTAAGCCAACGCTCCTTCTCCAGCATGATTAAGAAGAATCCACCAATGGGACATACCAAAGCTTCTCGAGTCCCTAAGGGTGGGAGTCAGTAGGGGCCGGGCCCCCAGATGGTGTGACTACTTGTTGTAGGATACATCTACCAAAGGCGGCCTCAGCTGAAGCAAACTTGTCTAAACGGTAATGTCTAATGAATGGAGATGGCGACGACCATGTCGCCGCCCTGCATATGTCCTCAATGGATGCCTGTGTTGCCCACGCTGCAGTTGTAGCAGCACTGTGGGTAGAGTGAGCCGTCACATGAGGAGGAACTGGTAAGGCCAGAGAAACATAAGCGCTTGAAATACAGGCCCTTATCCACCTCCCTATGGTGGAAGCTGAAACCTTTTGCCCCATAGACGAAGGCTGAAAGGACACAAATAGGGTTTCTGACTTACGGAAGGGCTTAGTGCACTTGATATAACATTGCAAGGCCCTCCTTACGTCCAAAGTGTGCCAGCATTGTTCCAATTCATGTGATGGGTGAGGGCAAAAATTTGGGAGGATAACCTCCTGTGCCCTATGGAAAACCGTGTTAACCTTTGGAATAAATGAAGGGTCAAGCCTGAGAACTACCCTATCCTCGTGGAATGTGCATAGGTCTTTTCTAACCGACAAGTCCGCTAACTCTGAAATGCGCCTGGCCGAGGTAATGGCAATGAGAAAGGAGACCTTGAATGACAAATGTCGTAATGAGCACATTTTGAGTGGTTCAAAAGGAGAAGATGTTAGAGCTTGAAGCACTCGGGGTAGGTCCCAGGAGGGATACCTGTGAATAACAGGCAGTCTGGTATTTGAGACCCCTTTAAGAAAAGCCCGAATGGCTGGATGTCTTGATAAGGAGCTCGAGGAGTCCCATGACAAAATTGAGGACAGGGCTGCTAACTGTCTGTGCAAAGTGTTGGGTGCCAACCCCTTGTTGACGCCCTCCATTAAATATTCCAGAACCCTGGGAATTGTCACCTGTGATAGACTTACGTGTTTCTTATCACACCATTGACAGAAATACTTCCACGTATGTCATAAAGCCGGTTCGTTGCCGGTTTCCTGGCCACCTGTATCATAGCAATCACCTCCGCTGAGTAAGATTCCCTGGTTAGGGCGCGGCGTTCAAGTGCCAGGCGGTCAGTTGAAGCCATCGTGGATCTGGATGTTGTAGATCTCCCTGTATCAGCCTTATTTGGCTGTCGGGAATCCTCCATGGAGCTGAAAATGAAAGACTCACCAGATCCGCGAACCATGGTCTCCTGGGCCAGTAAGGGGCGATGAAGATCACCTCCGCTTGTTCCTCCAGGAGCTTCCTGATTGCTGCAGGAAGTAGAGGCAATGGGGGGAAGGCATACAATAGGCCTTGTGGCCACCTGCTGCGAAGTGCATCCGTTCCCTCTGCTCCCCGAGAAGGGAACCGGGAAAGGAATCTGGGAAGCTGAGCATTCTCCGGGGTGGCAAACAGGTCCATGATCAGACTGCCGAATTTGGCTGATATCTCCCTGAAGATATCTGGATGAAGCATCCACTCCAAATGATCTATTGTCGACCTGCTGAGGAAATCTGCCTGTCGATTTGCCTCCCCCGAAATGTGTTCAGCTCTGATGGAGAGCAGGTGTTTCTCTGCCCAGGTGCCTAATGCTCGGGCTTCTGTCATGAGGGATTTCGACCGTGTGCCCCCCTGCCGGTTCACGTGGGCCTTTGCAGCCACGTTGTCTGTTTGAATCAGTACATGCTGGCCCCTGACTTCTGGGTGGAATTTTTGAAGAGCTAGATAAATCGCTCTGAGCTCCAACCAATTTATGTTGTGTTTGAGATCTGCTTGCGACCACCGATCCTGAGCTATCCAGGATTGGAGGTGAGCCCCCCAGCCGAAGAGACTGGCGTCCGTGGTCACCTGAAGGCGGTTGGGTTCTTTGAACAGGGTCCCTTTGCTGACGGCCGATGAAGTCCACCAGCCAAGGGAAAACCATACTTGATGGGGAACCCGAACCCATCTGTTGGACGTACTGGTATGCTGCCTTTGGTATGGGAGAAGAAACCACTGAAGCTCCCGGGTATGTAGCCGAACCCATGGCACGATTGCTATACATGAGATCTGTTTGCCCAGGAGCTGAGAAAGCGTGGCTAATGCCACGTTTCTGTCCCTGCGTACCTTGCAAGCCAAGTCCCTGATGCTCCTGCGTCTCTCCTCTGACAGGTACACATGACATGATTCCGTGTCTATTACTGCTCCCAGGTGAAACAGACGGGTAGATGGATTCATCTGGCTCTTTTTGAAGTTGATCAGGAAGCCATGGGCCTGAACAGTCTGTATAGTGAGGGTCAAATCTGAATGGGCGGGTGAGACTGACGGGGACTGGATCAGGATATCGTCCAGGTAGCATTGGACCCTGACTGGGACCAGCCGCAAGTGAGCCGCCAACACTGCCAGGATTTTGGTGAAGACCCTGGGGGCTGAAGAGTGGCCGAAAGGAAGGGCTCTGTACTGAAAATGGCGGTTGAGATAGCAGAATCTTAAGTACCTGCGATGAGCTGGGAGAATAGGGATGTGGAGGTATGCCTCCTTCAGATCTATGGATGTTAATAAATCTTCCCGCCTGATACTGGTTAGGATGGAGTGCAATGTTTGCATTTTGAACCGTTTGTAATGAAGGTGAAGATTAAATCCCTTGAGATCGAGGATTGCCCTCCATCCCCCCGAAGACTTTGGGACTACAAACAGGATTGAGTAATATCCCTGCCCTGCCTGGCTTGGGGGAACCTCCTCTATCGCCTTGATGGCTAGTAGATGCTGTATAGTGTCCTCCATGAGTCCCCTCTTTACTGGGTTTCTCATGGCTGGGCAAGACACAAAGTGATTGAATGGAACGGATTTGAACTCCAGGGACAGGCCTTCCCTTACGATACGCAACACCCAGGAGTCTGTGGTCGTGTTTTCCCACTGGCGAGTAAAGTGAGTGAGCCTGCTGCCAATGGGGGGATTTCCCTCCGAGTCATTTGCCTCGGCGGAAGGACCGACCCCCTCAGCCACGAAAGGAATTTTTGGGTTGTGGCTGGTACCTGGACCTGTCTCTATAACCTGTCCTGTCCGCTCCTGTTTGGGAGCGACCGATCGGTACGGTTGTGCCGACTCTGTTGCTGTCCCTGCCCGAAAGGGCTGCTGGCGACTGTAAGGGGTGAACCGTCTTGTGGACCTCTTTGCCACGTAGGAGATCACCTTTTGCTTCTGTTTATTTTCAACTAAGTACGGCGTTAGTGCATCCCCAAATAATTTGCCACCTTTGAAAGGGGCTGTGGCCACGTGCCACTTATGCTTACTTTCGGCTCTCCAATTTTTTTGCCACAGGAGTCTCCTAGCCACCACGTTGGAAGCCATAGCCCGGGCTGAATGTTTGGCTGAATACAGAAAGGCATCGGCCATGTATTCGGATGTGGCAAGTATTTTTGTTAGATCCTGATGCATTCTAGTTTCCTCAAGTGGGATTCTATCCTGCAGCTGGCGCAGCCAGGTGATAGAGATTCTTGCAAAGAAGGAAGTGGCCGTTGCTGCCTTCACAGCCCAGGCAGATGCCAAGTGCGCTTTGCGTAAGGCCATTTCAGATTTTTTATCCTCTCCTTAAGGGCGTCGGATACATCAGCTGGAAGACTGGCAGTGGAGAAAAGCGGTGCCAGCGATTCATCCACTTTTGGGACCTCTAGTAGGTTTCTGAATGCCTTAGGCATGTCTACCATTTTGCACTCAGACGCGTTTTGTGACGGCTGGGCTGCTGGTGATTCCCACTGATCCTGCACATTTTGGAAGAACAACTATGGACAAGGGATATGGAGGTGCGTGTCTACAGGCACAGCAAACAAAGGATTGGTTTCCTGATCGGAGGAAGGCTGAGGGGTTGGTACCGACTGAGGGGAAAGCTTACTTGCCTCGCACGCTCTGCGTAACAAAGCCGGAAATAGCGAAGCATTAAAAAGCTCCGCCATGGGTTGGGATTCGTAAGATGGTTCCTCGCAATCCGACCAACCATCCTTGCCTCCCCGTAATCTGAAACATCCGGGTCCGAATCAGGGGATTGGGAGGGAGAGACCATACCTGACTGATCCAGTGGAGGCCTCACGGCAGTTGTTGGTGCCGAAGAAGAGGATGGTCCTGGAACGGAGGGGGCTTGTTGATGACTCGCTGATGCCATGGCTTGGCACACTGCCTGTGATATCCACATTTGGAGCTGGTCGGAGACGTACTGCTCTAGCGGAAGCCTTAACCCCGCAGCAGGTGGTGTGCTGGCAGCAGTGGGTGCTACAGATGAACCTGGCAAGGCAAAGTTCTCCCCAAACACGGGTGGGCCTACCTGACCAAGAGTCCAAGTTGGGACCTGTTGATACCCCATCTCTGGCGACCATACTCTGGATGTGGATGGTTGAGGCTCTCCCCTGTCCGGTGGTACAGAGGTTGGCAATGTGAGACCTCCTTCAGCAGACAAGCGTTGGGCCCGGGAGAATTGCTTCTCCAGAGCTCTGTGGGTGCGTTCAGCCAGTTTGTCGCTCGCTGTGCCAGCTTTCCTGCCGTGCTTAGACTTGGATCTCGCCTTACCTGATGGAGGCTCGGGTGTCGGCTCAGTTGAGGCGGGAATGACGTCCATGTCCAAGGAACGTGGCTCAGAAGGGTCTGCCATTTCCATCGAAATCAACCCAAAGTTGCCTTTGGCCTGATTCGTTCTGCAAGGGACGTCAGAGGCCCCCGCGGGGGACTGACCTACGTGGATTGGGTGGAGAAGAATCACACGTGTCCCACAGTAGTGGCGATGGTCAGGATGCTGGAACAGCCACCAGATGCAGAAGGGCAGACAGGCAATATGGCGACCAGGCTGAAGAACCAGAGCTGCTGTTGGTACCACACTCTTGCTCACAGGTGCATGGATCAGGAGATGGCTGAAACTGAGACTCAGATGAAGGAGCCAGCAATTTTGTTAATCAATCTAGTTTAATACAATTAACATTTGTAGTTCACCCCCGTTATTGCATTCAATTTAGATTTATTTATTTTTTATTTATTTATTTTATTTTTTTTTTATTTTTATTTATTATTATTTTTTATTTTTATTTTTTAATTCAAAATGGCGACTGCCAGGGGGATTGAGCCTCCAAATGGCGGGCTCTGTGAACGTTCCCTTGGAGGGAATACCAGGAGGGAGGGGGGTAAAGAAGGGGTGTGTGTGAGGGATTAATGCTGCACTGCAAGGGGCCAATGACTGCCACAAACGAGGCTAATTGGAATCTGCTTTGGCCCAGTGCGTGAAGCAGGGGTTTGTGCCTAACAGCCATTAGGTGCAAAAAGCTTTACTGCTGCCTCACGAGGCTCCTAATGCTTCCGCAGTGGCTTTAGGTGATTGTAAGGCCACTGTTGGGCTTTCCCTTGTTGCAGCCGTAATAAAGTGTTTAGAAGTGAGATTAGGCCTTTTGAAATTCAAATGGCTACTGCTAAGAGTCCCTAGCCGAGCCCGGCTAGGGAGAAGCCACAAGGCTGCAAAAATGAAAGCGGCAAGGAAAGGAACCGCGCACGTGAAACTGAGATCTTTTTTAACAACACCTTTGAAATGCGTATAGGTTAAACCTCCCCCCCCACTGTGTAGGGCGAGGTTTGTTTGCTGATTCAGCAGGATACTGAATCTGGGGAAGTGAAACCCCCCCCCCCTTTCCTTAGAAAGTTTTAACCTAACCCTGAGGAGGGGAATACAGCAAATCCTTACAGAGAGGAAAACAAAACTCTCAACTAAGCTGCTACACTCTTTTAAAGAATCCACCAATGAGTAAATTTTCTATCAGACCTGCTCCAACGTAGAGAGAGTCAAGAAATCACATCTGTAATGGGCGAAGACCAAGAAGAAAACTGGGAGGTCCCCAGATAATGAGGAGGCGTGACAACTTGACAACTTGGTCTGATTGGGCAGGAGGACTAAGACAACCCATTGGTGGATTCTTCTTAATCATGCTGGAGAATGTTTCATGACATCAAACTGTGCCACAATTGGAGAGGGTATTATATAAATTCATTTATAAACACTGTCAAAAAGATTGGAAGCCATTTCCTTATAATCTTTTGTTTCCTTTTTCTTCCTCATTTTCCTTGTTTCTTTTCTAGTTATTCATATTTTTATCTTCGTAACAATTTTTCAATAATAATTATTGAATTATTAATTCAATAATTATTAATTAGTAATTAATCGATAACATTAATTATTAATCAATTGATTTCACAATTAATCCAGCAAGAATGTCAAGAACATGTGTCTTTGTGAAATATGGCTTTTTTTGGTTGGGCCGGTTCCAGTTGAGCTGGCCTGAGGAAGCAAACAAAAAAAGAAAAGAAAATGGGGAGGAGGGGTGGCCATGGACTGCACTAGGCAATCAGCAAGCTGCCCTGCCTGCTAGTTAGGATAAAGGTGTTAGGGTCTAAAGCCCACTTCAGTTACTGGGAGAAATGCTGGACAGAAAGATGGAGAAAGGGACAGAGAGAAAGAGAGAGAGGAAGAGAGAGGCATGGAGGGAGGGAGGGAGGGGGAGAGAGAGAGAGGGAGGGAAAGAAGATGCCACATTTGAGCCTGGACTATTGTGATTCTCTTTGGCCATGTGAGTTTGGAATTATTGCAGTCATAGCACCAAGTTGTACAAGTCACATTTTAGCCTATGTGAACTAGAAAGTCTTTAATCAGCTACAAATTAGTTCCTAAAAGCCATTCGTAATGCCCATATTGTGACTATGAAACACTTTATTGGAAATACTTGGCAAATCTTATCTGTTTTTGGAATCAGGATTAGTATATTTGGATAAGCATATATTATTTTAAATTTGTTTTGCCTTGTTGACAGCACTTTATGAATACATAGGGAAAAGCTACACAGACTTTTTTATTCATTAATTGTTCTGATTTATACATTTGAATGCTATCTGTGGTGATATGGGGTAAGCTATAAATGTAAACCTTGAAGATTTGATTAAAGCCAAAAACAAAGTATAAATGAAATACTTTGGTTAATGTCCAATATTGGCAGAAATACAAAAGTATGTGCATTGGAAGAAAATTAACACAAATATTTTTAGATGTTTGCTTAGACTCACCTATCATATTATACAAACTCTGTGGTGCAAACTGTCTTGGCATTTTCTGTATTGCCTCTTTGTAAACTAAAAGGGCATCCTATGACAAAGTGTTGAGAAACATATCATTACAATAACATCAAATTCAGAAGCATAAATGTAATATAAAATATTGTAAAACTGAAGATGCCTTTGTTAATCGTAACAAGAAATAGGCATTTAATAAAATGTATAATGATGAATCTTATGACACCTTCAAATTGATTTCGGTATAAGCATATGTAAAAGAATGTATTGGTCTCTAAGGTGGTACCAAACTGTGCAGTTTGTGCTGCAGAAGATTAACATGGATTGATTTCAATCTATGTAAAAATTATACAGTTGACATGAATCTTCTCAATGTAAAACAGAGCAATTTTCAATATTCAAACTTGCCATTTAAGAATGGGAAAAGAAAATACCTTAGAATTTCCTAGAACACATTCTGATGTTACAAAATGGTAATAATCACAATGATACTTTTCCATCTGCTGATAATAATGGGAAGTGTTACTGCTTTGCATAAAGTAATACAGGTCACATTAACCTGAAAGCCTTCTAAGGTTTAAAATAAAACACATATATGTCAGGTCAAACTACTGCAGTTTTTTATCATTACCTATTCTTAAAATGAAGCTATACATTACTTGAAGCTGTCAAATTGTACACTGTCCATATCCCACAAGTATATAAATTTACATTTATTCCAATTGTATGTTTCTACTGTAAGACTGATAGGCTGAGCAATTTGATTTATACTATGGCCCATCTCACATCGATGACTCTGGTGGCTTGATGATATTGGTATTACACCCTTAATAAGAGGAACCTATTTTTTCGGACTCACTAGGAAAAAAACAGTACATTAAACCATATCAGGAAATGCTATTATTTCCATGTTCATACAGTATATCATTTCAAAAAGGATAATTTGCTAATGAATGAATTACTATTGCACTATATACTATAATATCTATGTTCATAAAGTATAGCTGCTACCATCTCACTAGTCTTCCATTCTACCAGTCATCAGACTGAGTAATAACCTAGAAAAAGACATAAATTGTTAGATTGTAAATGTATTAGGGAAAGCTTGTCAGAGCTTTATGGTCTAAAGTGTAAGATGTAGATACCATGTTTGATACTGTTATGCAATCTTTAATACTACCAATAGTTCTAGGTACTTTGGCTGCAATCCCAAAATATCTGGAACACTACTTGAACAGTAGTGGCATTGACCAAACCATCATGAATCAATTGCAAAAGCAGTTTTAATTGGAGCAGCTTACATCCTGAGATGATACCTTTAACACTATCAAACAACATCTGCCTATCCCAGATCCTTGGGAAGGAATCGATAAGTGAATTTTTAATTCAGTCAAATTAAAATTCAGTCTAAACATCTGGATGAGGAACCATAATAATAATTTATTCAATTTATATGCCACCCAACTCCCAGACAGTCAATAGCTAATTCTAGTATAGAAGTGGAGGCTTTTTTAAAAAAAAACAAAAACACAATTATATTAAAATTATAGATAGCTGCTATGTTACTGTAAAATCTTACCTCATACTGTCCCTGTTCATGGTAAAGTTTCCCCAAGTTATAAAGGCAACTGGTAACAGAACTCTTATGAGCATGAGGATCTTTTAAGTTTTCATCAGGAATCTCTGAACACTTCAAAAATGTCTTCTTGGCTTCCTCAGCCTTGCCTTGATTCATTAAGATGATACCAGTATTTAAATAAGCAGCTAAAAAAAAAAGAAAGGGAAATGTAGCTATTGCACATTCATACACGATCCTATTATACTTGGTTATTTAAAACCAGAAAAATTAGATAGTTATAGGTTGACAGTTTCTTAAAATCTAGATTGGTCCTTCATTTTTTTAAAGTTGTTATGATTGAATTATCTTTCATTAAAGTCATAGATTATCCATTCTAATTCTACAGCAATCAAGACTTTCTTTATAAGATATTGATTTCTTTAATAATTGCCATAGGAAATAGATTGCTAATTAAAGAAAAAAATTAGTACCATCACAACAAAATATTAAAACTGGAATTTCATTATAATTAATTGAAATGTCAACCAAGGTGATTTCCTCTCTAATATTTCTTTAGAACAGCTTTGTCATAATCATAAAAAGAGGTAAAATACCCAAATTCAGTACATTTGAGAGTCAGTAGATTAAGTAGAAACAATAACTGCTCTCCAAGTGAACAAGGTAATCTTATGGTAATTGAAGACTTTTGGATCTGGGATGATGGCAGAGTAACTTAAATTGCTTTATTGCCTGAGTGTAACATTTTCAGCTCTCTCTTTCTAGAGAAGGAAATGTTAGACCCTCTCATCAATTTACATTTAAACTTGAACAAGAACCAATTAAAGATATTTAAGTACTATGTGGATGTTTCAGAAGTCACAGGCTTCAATTTTTCAAAGAGAATTTTGAGAGACTCCTCATTCACTAATGGGACTTTCACACATTAGAAGATTCCACATACAAGCATATATACAAGGGACTGAAATGATATGTAGCATGAATTTTCTGTTTCTCTACCCCTATAATCTAATATCCTGGTTTAGCTTCTGACCTCATCACTGAAAGGTTGGTAATCAGATGAAGTAAATACCAGAAGTCTTTTACCAAATTTGCTTGAAGCAGTCCAGCAACCCTGAATTGCTTCTTAAATATGTGACCCTCTCTATCAAACAGCTCACTTTCCTTACTGCCATAAATTTGAGCATATTTCAGCTTCTTTTACTCAAATCAAAATCAAACATGTTACTCTGGCAAAATGTTTGCCTAACAATAAATAAATAGTATAGAACTCTTGGATAACATCCAAGATCAACTATTTTACCATAGTACAGCATCTTCACATTACAGTAAGGATGGTCCAGGTGTTATCAAATATATTGGAACCATGTGGAAACATCTGCTCACAATTAACAGAATTAAGTACAGCTTACAGATTTTCTTTTTAACAATTTTATTTATAACACAAGACAAATGAGAAGGAACAGTGTATTTAAATATAACAAGCATACAACTTTACTTACAGGCTAAAGTAGGTCTGCTTCCAATAGCCAATTTATAATAATGCAGTGCTTCTGAAAACCTGTTGTTCTCCTGCAATAATAATCCCCTGCGTTTAGCAGAGAAATGGAGAAGACAAGAAGATAGTTGCTGAGAATAAAATGATGAAAAATGAAATATCAAGAAACATATTTACAGACAATGTAGAAAGAAAAAAAGAAAGAGTGAGCTACAGATTTTGCCATATGATTTTTTTTTAAAAAATGAGGATCATTTTGAAAGAAAGAACAATGAACAAGAATCATTTTTGTCCTCCAAAAGTAGTCAAATTATGTTATTGTAGAGTTTTACTTCCTTGAAAAGGGTCAAGAAAGGGTTCCTCTTTTGTCAAGAGAAAAAAGGAATTATACAAAGTTCACTATATTTTATTAAAAAGGTTGTTACTTAGAGAAGAGAAACTGCCACAATATGCATATGATATAGAATGAAATAGATAAGAATCACTGTCACCTTTTATGAGCTTGGTGAAAGAGACAAACTATTCCATTCTTACAAATAACTAATTTTCCAAAATTATTATTCCAGCTAGAGCTCTGAAATCTCTTTAAAGGCTTATAATTCTTGGTATAAAATCTGAAGCTACCAATTTTCAAAATAAAAGTTAATACTAGAAATTATACTAAAGAAAGAGCAGAAAGGTATGAAAAGGAAAGGAAAGGAAAGGAAAAAGATGTACCAGAAATATTTCTTTAATAAGGAAAATGTTTAGTGGTTTAATTAAGTAAAAATGGTTGACATGTTTCTTTTTTGAAGTCTATTTACATTCCAAGAGGAGTGATTAAAATATATATCAAATAAAGCTGATACAATAGTATTTATTTAAAAAGGAAAAGTGTAAGATCAGGTTGAAGCACTTGGTAATAGGAAGAGGGCATCAAATGGCTTCCATAAGTCATAGCTGTTGCTAAAATGTTGCAATGTTCTTGGAGAGAACTTCAAAGAAGACTGGTCATCCCATAGTCAGAGAAGGAACTAGGTTTTTTAACAGTAGGTAGTATAAGATCTGTTCACCACTGTGTATAAAGTATATACAATATATAAACCAGAGGTACTGTAGTTCTCAACTTACAACCATTCATTTAGTGCTCAAAGTTACGTTGGTGCTAAAAAAAGTTTCTTATGAAAAGTCCTTGCAAATACAACATCTGCAGCATCTCTTCAGTCATAAGTTCAAAGTTCAGGTGCTTGGTAACTGACACGTATTTATATCAGTTACAGTATCCCTGGGCCACGGGATTGCCATTTGCAATCTTCCCAGCCAGCTTTCAACAAGCAAAATCAATAACAGAAGTTGGATTCACTAAACAACATGATTCACTTAATAATTGTAGTGATTCTCTTAACAACGGTGATAAAAAGGTCATAAAAGGAGGTGTGACTCATTTAGAAACCACTTCATTTAGCAATGGAAGTTCTAGTTCCAATTGTAGTTGTAAGTTGAGGACTGCCTGTAATGCATTTTAATAATGCATTATTTTTATTATTTAGATGTGATTTTATATGGGAGGACAATATATGCCTTCTATCAACTGAAGGGTCAGGTATCAACTCCAGCCAGATTGTGTGGGGCATGTGAAATGTTAAAAAAAAACCCACTAGGAATAATCCCAAAAGGTGGTAAGATTGCACTGAGAAAGATTAGTTCTATTAGATTGGAAGTCATGGTCCCAAATATTCTGCTTTATTTTGACTATCCCTATTCTCCTATATGCTGCTGCTGATGTATCTATTATGTCTATAACTCATGTGGGTATATACCATATCATTCTATTGCTTCAGGGAACTTCTTGAAAATAATTATATCTGTAACTTATGTGGGCATGTAATGTACCTTCTCATTCTATTGCTCCAGGGACCTCCTTGAAAATAATTATTCTAAAACAATGTTTTGATACTTTCAAGAAAGTGCTTTAAAGTTTGCAATAATCTGGAAGATCAACAGATAACTTATTGAGCAACTTAAACTTTCAAATCTATGTGTTTATTTTCAATCTTCCATTTACTGGACTAATCAAATGAGTGAACTTAATGTAAAAGAGTATCCCTTGCAATTATCAAATATGCAAGTCAACATGGCAACAACGACATCTTAAAGTTATTTAAAGCCAGAGTTCTGGATATGATGCCATATAGTATCCAGCTGGATATCTACAAGGACACCTCTCGACTCACAAAATACCCAATCAAAATTTCTAAAATCTATAATGTTTGTCCTCCATTTGACTCTTAATGTTCTCCAAAGTATGGAATTAGGCTGCATCTCCTTTGGGGCTCATTTGAGATTTTGTTGCATTTGCAACAAACTATTCAGCAACAGTGTATATCTCAGTCTTTAAGACTAGCTACTTACAGCAGCATCAGGGAATGGACAACCTTCTATATTTTGCTCATTTGCTGATGCATACTGCAGAAATGAGCTATAGCTTCAGACCCTAGCCATAGTTCAAGGAACTGTCTTACGAGAGCCTATATTCTGTCTTTGCTGGTACTTCTCTTTCAGTCACAGTTCTATATATTAGAATTATTGGCAGTCAATCTGTTAATCATAGTAATCTAAATAATAATAGAGGAAATTAGAACTGCTGCCCCTCTAATGATAAGTTAATAGAATGGTTCAGGGTTAAGACCCAATGAAAGCCAAAGTTGGTAATAAAGGCAGAAAACTTTGGCTGGATGAAAGATAGAAAATGAAATAATAGTGACCACAAACTAACCATTGCAATTGGGGGGGGGGGGGTAAAGTGTGATAAAGATCTGCAAGACTTGCTTTTCACAAAAATAATTTTAAAAAATCACATTTTTGCAACCAAAATATCAGACAGATAAACTGAAGGCTGAACTCTGATTATTGTGAATATGTGTAATAATTTGTACACCTACTCACAGAGAAAACAATATCTATATACAGAGATACAAATATATTACATAAACTTTCTTAAATATTTCAATCTCCTCCAGCTATAGCCTTAAATTCTAATCTCATTCTAAAATGCACAAATTCCAGCAGGCAAAATATCTGTAGATTAAACTCTGCAAGTCTAGAAACATCCCAAATATTCAGGTATGAGCCAGACCCATTTTGTTCCTGGGGCAGCTACATGATCCACCAGCAGACACGATGCATTTTGCTTTTCTTTCTCCTCCAAAGAAATCTACCCAAGACTGCAATACTTCCACTAAACTTAGATACAAATCTTATTAATTTCACAAAATGAACTTTGGCTAGAGTTGTACAAAGGGCTTTTACCATATGTGACTCAGACTTTTACTGTATGTGATAAGGTCTTTACTCAGCTGATTGTTCTTTACAGCTACTTTACTCTGATAAATAATCTGAGCTATCAATCATGTTTCCTAGTTCAACTGACAACATGCTAGTGGCAAAAGCTATAGGAAATGTATGGCAGAGGTACTCCAATTTTTATCACTACAATTAAGCTCTAGGACATCTAGAGATCCAGCTAATATTTTGTAGGAGCTCGAGGTTTTCAATAACAGGTTATGTGGACTTTCTACTAATATGGTTGCTGTAGAGCAGGTAGACTCTGGCAATAGTGCAGGGTGTTCCATTGAAATGTTCAATCTGCTACTGTGACAAGTAGCATAATATGACTGGACCAAGCCCATTGATGATATTCTGTAAAATTCAGAATTCTACTGTGCAAAGGCTGTTATACTACTACTGGAGGAGATTGGCATGTTTTATGCTTTTAAAATGCTATTATTTGTTAATTCTGGCAGACAATCCAATTAATATGCTATTAAAGGATGAAAATTTAAAAGTTGAAGTTAACTATTTTATCCATAATAATTGCACGGGGCTGATATAAAATAGTGGTACTGTCAACTCTACAAACAAATTTGGCTGAAGCCATTTTCCCTTTGTTTTTGGTTCCCACAGATTTGGGAGGGGGGAATGAGTGTTTTCTAGCTTAGTCAAAACAATAAATTGTTCTGTTGGAACCAAGGTCATTGCTGGCTGCATTTTGGCAGGCTAAAGCTTCAGTTAGAAAGCCCACACAAGTAGGTAATTGGGGATTGTAATTTATGACACATTACTGGGTGGGAAGTTCAACTTTGTAACATTGTAACCTTAGGAGGGGAATTTCAATCTTGGGTTCACTTTTGATCGTGCCAATACTATGTAGCCAAATAAATATGTTCTTTAAGAAACATTTTTTGCCTTGGAGTTCTTTTTACTGGTCTCATCTATCAGAACCATGACATTAACCCGAGACTCCAATTTATTTGGGAGGACGACAAAGACTCAGGGAAAACGCCAAGATGGAAAAGAAGGGGGAATCGGCTGCAAGCTTTGGTGCTATGGCAGTAGATGGAGCGCAGGCTACCCGCCCAAGCCGAAAGTGCAGGTCCGGCCGCCGAAGTGAGACTGAAAGCCAGGGAGGCCAACTGGAGCTGTTGGTACAGCAAGAGGGAGCCTTACCTGTTGAGGAAACTTGGTGTTCAGAGACAGCTCAGCCACGGAAGAGTACCATGAAAGCTGCGGAAGCTGAGTTCCCATTGATCTCATCCCATGGATCTCACTTGCCAAAACCAAGGAAGGCAAAGCGGTTGGCCGCTTGGGATGAATCAGGGGAATGGAAGTACCTGACTTCCATCTACAGCCACTCCATCGAACGCTTAAGAGAGAAGTTTGAGGGTCTGGAGATGGGAGAAGGGGAACCAATCACCCACTAGATGCTTTCCAGTGACCGAGAGGACAAACATCTCCATGACCGTCCAATGCCACGGCAAAGCCCTAGTCCCATGGCAAGGGCTCTGGCCGCCTCCCCACTTCCTACACCAGCCCTAACTTCGAGCCCAGTTCATTGGCAGAGTCCTGGCCATCATCGATGTTACACCAGTCCTGATTGTCAGCTGCAATATGCCAGTATGAGCACCACCAACGTCCTGTCAGTCCCAACTGTCAGCGATGCCATGCCAGCCCTGATTGTCAGCGATGCTATGCCAGCCCCAGGTGTTACCAGCACCAGGTCAGCCCTGACCATTACCCACATCAAGCCAGTCCTGACTGTTACCGACTCCAGG